ATGATTAGCGTTGGCTGGGTTTCCCTGAAGAGATTTGGCACTGCAGGCAAGGGAAGTGAGAAAAAGAAAGAGTGATGTGTCAAATTCAAACCCCTTAGTTATTTAATGAAAAAAAAAATGCTGACTCCATTTTCTCAGCATTACGGATACCACTACTTCAGAAATGCCAATACTGGAAAATGCAAAGTCCTCTTAGAACTACTACTTGTGGTACCTAGAAAATCCCAAGAGTAGTTAATCGCCAGCAACCACGGAGGGAGAACAGAACTGCTGGCCCGGTTTCCTCGGGCTTATCTCCCTCCTCCAAAACTCTTGGGGATATGCTTCGTGGCCCCAGGAGCTGCACTGGGAAACAGCAGCACTGGGATGAAAAAGCAGCCAATTCAAGTTAAGAAATGAGTTCCTCATCACTATATTCCCAGTCCATTTTCCCTGCATTTCAGTAATCCACTCTCTCTTGTTTAGTGAAGAATGTGCCTGTCAGCAAGACGTAAGTTCATATTTAACCCCTACGCTTCACTTGCCACCAGCATGGAAAGCCCTACGGATGGAGGGCAAGCCCGTGAAAGCAGTCTGCTACCACGGCGTAACCCCCAACGCAGGATCCAGCAACATCCATCTCCCTTTTGTGTCTCCCTAGAGCCACGATATCCACATCCAAAGGATTTTCCCCAGGTAAAGAGGAAAACAATTACTTTTTTTTTTTTTTTTTTTTTTAAAAACAAAGATCAAGATGTGCAGAGCCCATTGTTGAAGGCTTGAGCACCCTCTATTTTCTTTGCTGTGTCCTCTGCTTGCAGGATGGTCTTTGCTGCCAAGGACAGGGACCGGTTCTGAAAAGCTGTGTGGTCTCTAGGCTGCTTTTCCAATGCGTGGGCTTTCCATCATTAAAAAAAGTTCGTAGATAGTTTTAAGACACTACAGTATCCATACAGTCTGCTAAAACCTGTAAAGTAGAACTATAAGATTTTTATAACTACGCAGGGAAATACTGTCCTCAAACGAAAACTGCAGGCAGGTTTCAGCAAGGCAGAAGTAAGTTACTGGGATCAGACTGGAGCCTCCCTGTAGACTAAAGGTGCCAAAAGACTTTCCAACTCCACCGCTCAGTGCCGCTATGTTATGACGTATCTGAAAGGATCGCGATACAGCGGCACAACTTTGGGCCGTTCCACTTTTGTTTTCTATAGAGACAGACAAATTCCACCTATCACCACTTCACACGATATCGTGTATTCACTTTGGAAGCCTCTCTTCCAAGTTATTTTTTGACCCAACCACACTTACTTAGCAATATTTTACAGGCTCACAGACTAACGGGACAGAGCTGCAAGACAAAACGCGAAAAAAGGCTGAGCTCACACCGGCTGCTCACAGCCCAGCTAGCCGCTTCCGGGCTGTGCGTCAAGACACCAAAACCTGATGAGCAAGCTCTTGCCTGGCAACAGAGTACATTTGCCACAGGGCAAACAAATACATTAGCCTCCTTTTTGCAAGGATTTCTCATAAGCATAAGGCTTTTGATTACAGCTTGTTGCAGTTCCCCCGTGCATGCAGACATTCGGGACACTGAACAAGAAAAACGTCACGGTGCCTAGCATTTCCTACAATTTCCAGAAAAGTAAAATAAGCACACCTTTGAGGGTCAACCTTAAACAGATGCTTTCCCATTCTAAATAAATGATGCAACTGTCATTTAGCACTTCCTCAGGGAGCGGCTAGTACTGCAAGATGTAAATGAGCTCAGACTTCAGTTATTTAATTTGAGCACGACAAAATAAAACCAGGTTGCATCTGATTAGCAAAAAAAGCATCCTTTCTGCAGCAGAGCCCCTCACCATAGATCTGTTTGATATTCACCAGCATGGGACTAAAACAGCAAACGCTTATGGCTTTTCTATATACCAGGGCTGTTTCAGTATTTCTTTGAATAAGTGCCCAGGACTTCCCTGAAAATTTTGGAAGAGAGGCTAGTTCCCTAAATCCTCATTTAACCGGTACTGGACTCTCTGCATTTCCTCTCCTGTAACCACCGACTGACCGCCGAGAACGCGCACCCTCCATCTCCAGCCCCCTTCCCTCGGCCGAGGCGCTGAACGCGACGTCTCCAACGACCGCCGGTGTCACCCCACAAACAGCAGCCGTGATACGCTAGAGCTGCGTGCAAACGCACCCGTAAATGCCAGGCAGTAGAGAAGAAAAGTAGAAATACGCGTAATCGCTCAAATGGATTTACCTAGTTAACGTAGGAATATTTTGAAACTCAGCTTAGCTCCTTTAATTAAATTCGGGACATAAGATCGATTCAGTAAAATCCCCAAAATTTCAAGCAGAAATGCAAAATAAATATATTATAACAGCAACAACAAAACAGAAAACATACTTTGAATGTTTATTTTAATCAACAGAACAGGATTCCTTCATACGCAGACAGCAGAAAATCCCCTATGAAACAAGATCTGATTCAAGAATTTCAGGTAGCATTAGGAGGCTAATGGAAAAAAAGATCTTTTGGCTGAGACAAGATCACAACCCTAGCCGCTCAGAGCCATTAGAAACGCTCTGGTACGAATGGAAAAGGAAGAAGGGGTAGCCACTAGCCCGGCGTCCGGAGCACGTTTCAATTAAGTGATAAAATTTGCATCTTTATGTTCCTTGTGCAATGAAAAGCAGATACAGCATCACAGCTCGGTGCCGCCACGAGCCGCGCGCTCAGACGACGCCGGCTGCAGCGCCCGCCCAGACCCAGCAACCTGTTAGAGGAATGTAAAGAACGTTATTATTTAAGAAAAAAGTTTGTCGAGGACAGAGGACACTACATGTAAATGCACACTAATATTAAAATGTCTGAAGAACAATAATTAATACATTATGTCTGTTAATCCAAGACAACCACTGTCTTGCTCTGTTGTAGCTAATCCGTTTGGTTCACAAAATAGCACAAAATCGTAGAATTATGGCAGTTTGAGTACTGTTGAATAAATATAAATTAGAACTTTTGCTTCATTTTCACTCTCCCATAAAGGCAAACTTATGTTGTGTGCAACCTTTATTAAAAGTAACTCCTTTCATATCTTAAAGGGCCAGTGTTTCCATTTAAACACTGGCAAGTTTTCTAGATCACTGCACCCAGGAAATTCTCCTTGAAAGTCAGAAGCAATCATCATATGCATTTCCCTGAATTACAACAATATCCTGTACTACACATTCATGAAAAGCTAACAAAATAACCTGCCATCCCCACATACAAAGAGGAAAAAAACATTACAGTAGTGCAAAGTGCCTTCCACTTCTTATCAGAAGAGACAACTCTAAAAATACAGGGCTGGGGAACCGTGCTGAGCGCAGCACTCCTTCCCAGTTAAGCAGAATGCTCAAGCGCTTTTTATTCTGCTAAATGATGCAAAACGCCCTCACGTATTATTTCTCAAGTCAGTCAGGTCATACTACGGGGATCTGAAACATGATCTCGCAGAGCTTTGAATCTCTCCTTCCCTGATGACACAATGCTAAACTCTAATGCTGGTAAAAGAAGAAATCAGCTAATCCCGATTCTTGCAGAGCGGGAAGGAATTTTAAGCGTGGCCAGAGAAAGCTAAGAGAGTCAAAAAGCATCAGAGCTCTTTCTCCAATCAAAAAATCCACAAATTCCACATCTGCATTTCACAGATTTTATATAAATAATACAAAATTTCATTTGTTCTTCCCTTTCAATTCCATTAAATTTCTCCCCATAATAAAATCTCAATAACAAGAGGGACTGCATGTTACCGCATTATTCCTTCTAGAGACTGACAATCATCCACCCAGTCAGCACAGTATCTGAGCATCTCGAAAGCACTTATGGATATAAACTGACAATAACTTTCAGACAGCAAAGTTGCAGTCACCAAACATGGGGGAACTGAGGCCCAGAGAGACTAAGTAACCTTTGAAGATCAGGCCACAGAAACCTAAACTCAGCTCTTGTGCATCACGACCACAACACAGAACCATCCAGCCCAGTCCCAATCAGTGTTATCTTGAACATCCTTACTTATAAGCATCCATTTTCTCAGTCCTATATATAGTCTTTTTCATGCCTTAAACACACTTCAGAACAACTGCAGCATAAGGCTACCCCCCCCCAACCCAAAAACAAACCAACCAACCCACCCAAGAAGTCCTTCTACTTAGGAAACATTTGTCTTTTAGTCCTGCTCTGACTCCGTTCCTGGTTCTGGGAGGGAATACGTGCGCTACCGGTCACGAGTCTGGTTCCCTCCAAACCTTGCCCCTTTCATAATGCCCCTTGCAGCTTTCTCGTTTCCCATTCCTATCCTGTCGTCCAGCCTCTATACAAGTCTTCTCGACTACGCAGTTCCATCTTCCAGATTTTCCACTACACTCCCTAAATCAAAGACCTCCTCCCTAACCCAAAACACTATGCATTTTGTCCTGAGACTACTCATTCTTGTTCAACCTTTAAAATCCCCACCAAAACTCCTCTTAATCCTTTTTTTTTTTTTTTTTTTTATTTTTGCCCTCGCCCTCTGCCCACACCCTCTGCACTGCGCCTCCTTCCCACTTGCTGGACGCTGAAGTTGAGCGCGCGGGAGGAGCATCGTCCCGTTCCCACCTGCGGCGCCCAAAGCCAGG